CCGTATAGTATTTGGATAGTGGTACTTATTCCTTATAACTTACCACCGTGGTTATGCATGAAACAGGAAAATTTTATTTTGTCAATGCTTATTCCCGGTCCTAGAAGTCCTAGAGATGCAATTGATGTTTATCTACAACCTTTGATTGATGAATTAAAAGAATTATGGGAAACTGGAGTTTGTACCTTTGATGCGTCCACTAAACAGAATTCCACGTTGCATGCTGCTTTATTATGGATCATTAATGACTTTCCAGCTTATGGAAAGTTATCTGGTTGGAGTACAAAAGGAAAATTGGCTTGCCCATGTTGTAATAGAGAAACTTTCTCAAAAGATTGACAAATGGTAAAAAAGAACAGTGTTTTATGGGTCATAGATGCTTTCTTCCTCTTAATCACAAATGGAAGAACGATAAGAAGTCATTTGATGGTACTGCAAAGTGGGGATTACCTCAAAATACACTATCTGGTGATGACATACTTGATCAAGTGGCTGATTTAGATGAGTTACCTCTAACAAATGATCAAAAGAAGAAGATTAAAGTATCACATGATAGTAGAGGTGATCATTGGAATAAGAAGAGTATATTTTTTTACCATCCATATTGGAAAACTTTGTTGTTGCGGTATAATTTAGATGTGATGCACATTGAGAAGAATATATGTGATAATATTTTAGGAACAATATTAAATATCAAAGGTAAAACAAAAGACACCTTGAGTAGTCATTTGGATTTGCAAGAATTGAAGATAAAGAAAGAATTACATCCAAAAAGAAATGGAAAAAAAATATGAGTTACCGACCGCATGTTTCACATTATCTCCTGAAGAGAAGCACAAGTTTTTAAGTTTTTTGAAGGATTTAAAGGTTCTAGATGGATTTTCGTCAAATATTTCTCATTGTATCAATATGAAAGATCACAAAATCTCAGGATTAAAAAGTCATGATTGTCATGTTCTTCTGCAACATTTAATCCCACTTGCCATACGTAGTATGCTATGCATTGAAGTGCGTGAGCCGCCAATTGAGTTGTCATTTTTTTCCCAATCTTCTTGGATCAAAGTTCTTAAAACTTGAGGAGTTGGAACAAATAGAAGCACAAATTTCTGAAACTCTATGCAAGTTAGAAAAGGTTATTATTCCTGCATTTTTTTATGTCATATAGCACTTGCCAATTCATTTAGCTAATGAGGTTATGATTGGTGGACCTGTTCAATACCGATCAATGTATCCAGTGGAGCGATGGTTATATTTTGTGAGCTTTTTATTCGTAATGGATCTTGCGTTGAAGGATCTATTGCAGAGGGATATATAGCACATGAATTTACAACCTTATGTTCAAGGTATTTGCATACAATGGAAACAAAATTTAATCTTCTTGAACGAAACTATGATAGGGGTTCTATAGAATCTGATGGAGGTTTAATGATCTTCTGTCAACCAGGAAAAGCTTTTAAAGGTGGCAAGACACACCTACTTGATTTTAAAGAATTGGAGCAAGCCCATATTTATATTTTGAAGAATTGTGATGAAGTTCAACCATTTCTCGAGTAAGTAATGACTTTTCAAAATAATCATCTTATCACTTCTTCAGAATTATTATTAAATCCTTATTTCTTATTGTGCTTCCTCTTCTATAGAGAGTTTTCTCAATAGAAGGTGAATGCTGTTTAAAAACATTTATTTTCAAATCATATAGATAATATGTTCTAAACTATGTTCTTAATCATTATAGATTGAAGGATTATGCAAACATGACGATAGTAAGAAAATGGCAGATTTACTCACATTATCACGTGGTCCAATGAAATATGTGACAAGATTCAAAGGCTACATTATTAATGGATATAGATTTCATGTACAAGATTACGATAAAGGTTTGAGGACACAAAACTGTGGAATAGTTGTTGCTGGTGAGACTGATGAATAAGATAAAACCATTGATTACTATGGCGAACTAACAGATATTCTTGAATTACAGTTTATTGGTGGGAGAAGGCTGGTTTTGTTTAGATGTATGTGATTTGATGTATATGACAATGAAAGGGGAGCTAAAATGGATGAATATGACTTTGTAACTGTTAACCCCCAACGATTTTTGAAAACTGATGAGCCTTTTGTGTTAGCCAATCAAGCATCACAAGTATTTTATGCTAAAGATCATTCTAATAAAGGCTGGAATGTGGTGCGAAAGTTTTTTCCTCGTGATTCTTTTGATGATGTGCTAAAGAATGATAATGATTTCGAGGATTTACATGATTCAATTGATAGGAAAATAAAAAGAACTCATTCACGTTTGTAATAGTTGATGCTTATAGTTTTTCAATTACATGTACATATTCTGAATCTTCTTGTAACACCCCGCCTTTTTGAAACGTATAAAATTACTCGTATCTTCATGGAAAGACCAGGAGGGTGGGTAATAAATTAAGAATGATGTGGTATGTCATATTTTAATTGTTCAAGGGTGGTATCTCAAGTTTTGAAGTTAGGTAAGTGGCAAAATGAAAGTTGGCGAAAGTTACCGTAAGTTCCTTTTTAAAGATTTCTCTAAAATTAGGGTCAAATGTTTCGGAGGTTTTCTCCCAATATATAAAGAGTTATGGGGCCTACTATATATTAAATCGAAGGTCTGCGAGTTTAGTTTCCAACGCATCAAACTGTTTGTTCATACGAATTCAGAATATAGAGATATTCACGTTTTCGTGGGACTGTGCAAGCAGGCATGTGAGGTGGAGCCCCAGGTCGGTGGAACTTTATATACATCCTCTTCTTCGACCTTTTCTTCATTTTTTAGCTAAGAACCAGAAAAATTAGAGAAACACATTTCTAGGATCAACTAAAGTATAGATTTTCTTGACTTAAGTCCTTGACGAAAGTTGTTCTACGCGTTGGGCTCATCATCGTGCTATAATTTGTTTTATCGAATTCGTAGCATATCACACTTTAGTGTTGGGACAGCAAGGGTTTGGACATATTTGAAGGTTTTGAGGCGTATTACGAATTTAAGATCGAGATAAGACCCTTCTTTCACCGACTCTATCTTTTATAAGCAGCAAATAGCAATTTGCGATAGAAATACATATCTTTTATCGGATTGTCGTGGTATCTTCTATTTTTGTGTGTTGATTATGGTCCTGCCTTGTTGTAGTATCGAGGGGGTTATGAGTAAAGGTCATTAGGCCACGTGAATTTAGCGAAAAAAGGTATGTTAAGCTATTCTCTTCCTATGGCATGTT